AGTCATTAGGGGCAATTTGATAAAACTATTTTTAATTATCATAATAAAGGGCTTTAATCTTTTAAAAAAAATCTTACAAGTCAAGAAAAAAAGATACCAATCTGGTAGGAAAATAATAAACAGCTATGGGGAAATAATACTTATAAAAAGAAATACAGGGGCTGGGGTTGTAGCTCAGAGGTAGAGCACTTGCCTAGCACATGTGAAGCACTGGGTTGGATCCTCAGCACTGCATAAAAATAATAAATAAAATAAAGGTATTGTGTCCATCTATAACTTAAAAAAATAATGCCTTTTTAACACATAAAGAGATGAAAATTAAAACTATAATGAGAGCGCAGTGGAAGAGTGCTTGCCTAATGTATGATGCACTGGGTTTGATTCTGAGCACCGCGTACAAAGAAATAAAATAAAGGTCCATCAACAACTAAAAAAATATTTTTTTAAAAAAGCTATAATGAAATCAATTTTTTTCTTTTCTTAATAGGTTGACAAATAGCCAAGCTATTGATAGCACATCATCTTGCTGAAGGCAGAGAAACAGCCACTGCCATATAATACTGATCAGAGTGCAATCTGAAATTACCTCTGCATGAGAGGAGTTTTGCAATAGGTTTTTAATGCTTGTATCTCTCTATTCAACAATACTACTTCTAGTAATGTATCCTAAAGCTATTCACCTACATGATTGGAAAACATATATCCAAGGATATTCATTGCAAAATTATTTGTAATAATAAAGGGTTGGACATATCCTAAAAGCCCATGAATGAAAGACTGATTCAATAAATATGGCACATTTGCATAAAGGATTATTATGGAGTCAGTAAAAAGAACCCAGTAGTTATAGATGTACTGATATGAAAAGTCTCCAAGATTACAGCCTCCAGCACACAGAACAAGGTGCAGAACTGTGAGTACAGCAAATTATCTTGTGGACATGCACTGGTATGCATGAGAGGGTAATAAAAAAAATTTTAAAACAACTAGCAAATTGGTTGCCTCTGGGGAATTTTAGGGAGCTTGTGCTTTATAGCAATGCAAAAATTAATTTCAAAACTGTTAATACAGTAGGGGAAGGTCTGAAGGAAACCAGCAGTGAGATAAAGTAGAGGAATAAGGGAATTTTCTTAAGAAGAATGCCCCAAAATCCAGACAACCCAGAAGCCACAGTRGGAGAGAGATTCCTTAACTCTGGGGGGAGGGGGTGTTAATTTATTCCTAAGAAATGAATTCTGCTGGGGATTCGGACAGTGCCTTTAGGCCACAGCTAGTGTCAGGCAATGCCCATGGAAGGCTGGTGAGGAGCCAATGCATGTGTGAAAACTAAGAAGAAGAGGCACTTGACTCACTTATAATACTGCAGATCTGATGAATAAACTAACTTATTTATATCCAGAAGATGACATATGTGTATAGTTTTCATCCTTATAAGGAAATTCTCTGGCCCTCTCACACCTACATTCACATAAGATGTTAAAAGAGGGAAAAATCGGTCGATCAAGCAACGCTCAGGATTTACATTACATCTTTCTCCTAAGAGTTCAAAGGGTTTCAGTGTTATGCCCTCCTTTATCCACAACACGTAGATATGTACAGTAGAAAATAAATGGTACAAAGTTGGGGAAATGAGGCCAAGTCTCAAGATGAATCACTTGCAGAAATAGGCCTGCAGTTCAACTTTCCTCATTAAGCATCATGTTTTTCTTTTTTTTTTTTTAATATATTAAGTCCATTTTGAAAGCAACAATTAAGAATGTCATCTTTGGTATACACTTAAGTATGTGCACACATTTATGCACTTGTAAACACATAAAACCATACATGCACACACACACACACACACACACACACACACACACATATGCACACTCACTAATTATATAATTTGGCCTCGGAGTCAGCTCTCTCAATGTGCTTAAACCACACTTATGCATAAAAATCAGTGTATAATAATAACAGTGAAAGTGACCATAAGACTGTTATAAATAAGGAAACTCGCATATGTCATTGTAACTCAGAATTTTGAGTCTGAGATCAAGTGAGAAAGAACAAATTAAGGGAAAAAAAGACAATTACAAGCCAAATACAGTTGTCACTGCACCCACTAAAAGGATTTAATTTAAAACTCAAACATCATCATGTTGGAAGGGGAAATGAAAAGCTAATAGCATGCATTGACGTTTACATAAAATTAGTATGTAAAGTGAGATATATGGCCCTAATGATGAATATGAAGCAACGGTTTGGATTTTAACAGACTAAGCAAAATGTAATTGACAAAGAAGCAAATCTAAATGAATTTCTAGCTATTTAAACACTAAGTGCAGCTGCATGTTAATTGTCAGTGGTATGAATTAGGAAAAAAAATCTSTTTAAGCTAAAAATTCAAAAAATAAACACAGCCAATATGTGAGCTCACACCCTGTACTGAAGTTCCCATTCACTCAGTCAGAAAAAAAAGTAATTTTTAAAATAATTTTTAAACATCAGAAAATTCCATCTTCAGTTACTTCATACTGATTGGGGAAAAAGGTTTGGTTGTGGGTGGGGGACAAAGAAAAAGATTAAAGTGTTTCTGAGAGAAGGAAGCATCTTTCATTTCTGGAATTAAGTCAAGAGTAAAACATTTGTTTTCAAGAAGTAGTTCACACAAAAATATTTCATAGAAATACCAATAAAGTCAATGGGAACAATTTAGGGTTTACAGTTAACTTTCCACTAATTGTCTTCCATTCCACTATATCAAAAAATAATCCATTGTATTAAAGTGAACACAACAGCACCCTTCATAGGAGTTGATATCACAGCACACAGTATTTTAGTGGCAGTTATAAGACCCAGCTCTGGCATCAGCGTTCCTTGTTCAAATCCTAACCCTACCTTTTTTTTTTTTTTTTTTTTTTTTGCTGTTTGAGAAGAGTACTGAACCTACATAACATATTACATAGACATCAAGAGCATATACCTCCTAGGATCATGATGAGAAGTACATGTATTCCCATACAGGTAACTCCAACCATTGCCCTGCACATGCTCAGTAATAGTGAACCATTATCAACCTCAGTCAAGACAGCAGTATTTCAGAGTAGATATATTRTGGTAAAAAACAGAGACAAAAAAGATGGTGGCAAGCATGCCATGATTTTGTTGGTCCCCAAACGTGAAGAAAATAGTGTCATCGGCCACTTCCGATACTCTTTCATTGGAAGATGGAAGCCACAGGAATATCTCTGGCCACTTCRCAGTAAAGACCAATTCTGGGAGAGAAACTGAAGTGTCCCTGGCCTCTAAAATGCTGTACAAGTGACTCTAGAACACAATGAGGCATCCATCCTCCAGCTATCTTAGGATRTGCTTTGAGATCTTGGCATATTCTCCCTATAATATCATCAGCCCTCAAAGGGATTGCTTGGTTGACTGATCATGCACCTGACTTTGCATCTGATCTTTGTCCAGATCCCTTGGAATATACCACCAAATGTTTCATTTATCCTTGTATTTTCCAAGGTCATGCAAAGGACAGCAGACACACACATAAAATCTAAGTCGGCTCAGAAAGACTTCATGTTCATTCTTCCCCTTTAATTTACTGGAAGTTCCAGCCTCTGAATAGAAGGAAGAAGGCCAAGTCTACAGGCATCTTGGCAGGGTGACAAGTCACTGAAGAGATGTGAATTCCCACAAAATAAACACACCAAGCCCAGGCTCCTCCACACCCACTCAAGTCCAGTCAGACTGTGACCAGAATGGCATTGCTCCCAAGAGATCAAGACAAGGAAAAGGGAAAGGACCCCAGCTTTGATTGACAAACCAACTCTGGCTAGAAAGGAGGACAAGAGGGTCTGCCAGTACACACCCAGAGGCAGCAACCCCAACTCCAACTTCCTGCTACCTGCTTAAGAAGGCAAGGGGTTGTATAGCATCCCTCTACGACCCAGTTGGACAAGAGGACCTGAGAAAATACTGCTGGAGTAAAGATAAACTAAGAAAACATCAACCTCTTCCAACACTTGGTCCTACCTTCCTTTCTGAGGTTTCTTTGTGCTATCTGCTTCATCAAAGGCTTAAGTCTTCAATCTCAGAAAAACCTGCTCTCCAAAGGGAATCTACTATCTTTACTTACACCTCAGCATACATTTAATCCTGTTTTATTCTCCCCGAATTATTTTGACCATGACTTCTAAGGCAATGAAAGGCTTTATGCCTTATCCAAACAGAGTTGATGTTAAGGCATGGATATCCCAGAGTGAACAATCTATTCTTCTCCCACAAGCTATGAGGTCTCATCTGTGAACCCAAACGGTCCTATTCTCACATTAAATGTCTAAAACAGATAATTACTATTAACATAAATTGGACTTAAAAATAATCTGAGCAGATCAATTCCTTCATATTCTCAAATTCTGTAGAAAGACAATAAGCCTTTCAACTTAAAATGAAGGATCACAGTGGAAAGAGTTGTCAGAAAACATCATTTTTGGTCCAGCAGTCACCACAAGCTTACAACCCCAAACACATCTTTTGGATTTTTTGGTCCCCAATCTCCAATGATAAAATTAACGGGTTTGATAACTAAGCTCCTTTCAACTCTACAATTTGATGATCCATTTGTCATCTTTCATTCAAGTACTTTCTGACATTGTGATAGCAAAATTTCAATCTGCGTCTAGAAATGAAGATGAACTATGCAACTGAAGATATAAAAATGAACTTTAAAAATTCATGTCATACGTGTGTGACAAAGGAAATAGAGAATGTTGTACAACTGGACACTTTTCCCTTGGCTTATGATTCGGGGGTATCTGATTGTAATACCATTATGGTTATTTTTTTTTCTTCGTATATCACGCTGCAAACTGGAACGCAAAACAATAAAGATCTTAACCTAAGGCTCCCTCTAACTATAATGTGACCTCTCAGAGGTCAGTAAGGCTAGCACAAGGAAACCTGAGCATGGAACCGGTAGGGTCCCTGAGGGTTTATTTCTTAGTGCTCACCTTCCACTAGTTGGTCCAGGCTGGAAATCTTCTTGAGCCCATCAATGGTGTAGATTGTTCTCACTCCCTGGGGCAAATTCACGTTATCCGACAGAGTTCGGGTCAAATCAGCCAGGAGGGCCTCAAAAGATCGGAAGCGGTCTGGGGAGATGGCGTACACAATCCCTTTGAAATATCGATCTCCATTTCGATAGAAACGAACTTTCTTGGCCTTCTTCTCGGAGCTGAGGGTCTGCAGCGTGCGGGTGCGGTAGAAGCTGCAGTGGGCGCTGTGCGTGGGGCTCGGCAGGCCGTTCACCCGCGACCCTCGGCTGTATCTCTGYGCCTTGTCCCTCTCATCGAAGTGCTCCAGCTCCATGTCTCTGCCGAAGGACATGATGGACTGCAAGGGGAACCTGTGAGCCCCAGAAACAAAAGCAGACACACAGCCTGAGGTTATTTAAGATCATGGCTTGAAGAGTTCCTCTTGWGAGCAGCTGGGTGGAAATATTGTTATAATATGTACTGAATCTGAGCCATCATCGAGTGGGAGAGAAAGAGGAGGAGGACAAGAAAGAAACGGAAGAGGCAAATTCCAGGGGAAACAGCTTATTACTCAACTACAGTTTCGTTCATCTCTGAGATATCAGTTACCTACCACCTAGTAGGTTTGGAATGGTACCYATTTACAGGCAGAGAGACTGAGGCACGGAAAATTCTCTCCTAAATTTCTCCAAATAACACAGTTGAGAAATGCTGGAACAAGGAACTTTCCCAGCTCTGCCCGACTCCAATGCTTAAGGTTCTCTGCAGACCAGTGTGCAGGTAGCACACTGCTATCTGGTAGCAGGTAGAAAAAAAGCTTTTTTCCTATTATCATACAGCTAAAACAAGTATTGGGCCAGGGGAGAAAATGAGGGCAGGCAACATTTAACAGTTGGACGGTAAGAGTTCTATTTACTGTATGTGTTTCCCATGGCCAGATGGAGAGCAAATTAAATCAGTCCCTAGGTTCTACCAACTTAAGGAAGACTTTCCAACATAGGCATGTATTCCATATTATAAGAAGTGAATTCACCTTAAATCATTTACTTGTATTTAGTGCTTCAGATAAATTGGGTTAAAACAAAAAAGGGGGGGCAGGAAGAGGAAATCACAAAAGGAAAAAAAATAATAATTATTTGAGTGGTTTTGCCCTTCCCTCCACTTAAGGTTCTATCTTTGTGGTTGAAGAAAWCAAGGCTGCAAGCTGTTGATTCATACTTGACCTTGACTTAACTGTGTAACCTTGAGAAAGCTACTTGTCTGACATATTGAAGCCTCAATTTCCTCAGTCACAAGATGGGAATGAGAATAGTACCTATCTCATTGTTAATATTAACTACTAAACAAGTTAATGGACATAAAGCATTTAGGATAGTGTCTGGCATGTGTGTAGTATTTTTTTTTTTAATTAATAGAATGGTTTCTGTTTCTGACCCCCTACAAAAAGAACTAGTAGGAGCAGAATCTTCCCCTTCTGGCAAGGGAGACAGCTTGTGACTCCTGATCTTTATTTCATGATTTTCTGAAAAGAACACCTGCATCTCCCTGGTCCCCATTTCACTTTCTATGGGGCTTCACTTTCTATCAGCAACTTGCCTATGGTATCAGTTCATCCTCACTAAGAGGTTCATTGATAAAGTCTAGTGGCGCTGCCTCTTGCAGGAGAATCCATTTTTTAACAGGACAATCTAGAAAGTGGGGAAACTTCAGCATTCAAAAATTTAAAATTTTTAAATTCAAAATTTTGAATGACACAATTTCAAGCACTCTGAAAAATAGAATATGAGGGAAATGGAAAATTTGAGGCAAGACTTTTACAAGTACCTCCCAATTTCTACCATATRGGCAATGTCACCTTTCTGAAGGTGAGTCAAAACTTAACAAAAGTATTGTTAAGTCTTTTTTGATCTTTCTGATCATTATTCAGCCTTCAGCCCGAATAAACTGACCTCTGATCCATTCAGAATGGGTAAAAATTTTATATATCAGTTTAAAAATTAATTTAAAAATTGTGATAAAAAATTTCACAYTTAAAAACATGGCTACGTGATACTCCTAATATGAATGAAGTGAAAGAAAATATTATTTATGGAATGTCTAAGATATACCTGACACTAGTATTCATCAATCAATTGTACAATATGCTAAAAATATTTTCTAAACCTTACAGGAATCTAAAAGRGTAGTTATTGTTCTCAAGGGCATGGGGTGGAAATGGGTCCCAACATTGTAACTGAGGGATTRGGATTTGAACCTAAATTTACCCTGACCCCAAAGTTGGTTCTGAGCCTGGACCCTAGCTGGCATGTACAAAAGAGTTGTTTAAAGCCCTCACACCTAACTGTCTCAGTYCCTTAAGCAAGCCACCTAACCAACCAAGACCTCATCTGCACAGAGAGGAAGCAGTAGCTGCCAGGTCTCTAATGCTTCACACATTCAAGTTTATATCACTGACCCCAACAAGAGGGCTGGAAACAGTATGATTTAAACATGGAGAGAATATGAGTTTAGTGTATTCTCTCCTTCCAAATATGAAAACTACCTTATGCCTCTTAATAACTAWTCATAAACTAATTTTTCATTTTTATGAAAACAGTTACACCCACAATAATCAGGTATCATTGATTTTGAAGTTTGGTAACTTTAAGACACTTACCACTTAATATCCAATCCTGGAGGCATTGGTTGTGTATTTGCCCATGATATCAGTAACTGTACCTTCCCCTCCCTCCATATATGTGTGTGCGTGTGTGCACATGTGTGTGTGCGTGTGTGCACGTGTGTGTGTGTGTGTGTGTGTGTGTGTGTATGTATTAAATGAGCTCTCCCATCTTACAAAAGGTGTGTTTGTCTTGATTGGTCGGGTGGAAGATATTACTAGTGTTTATACCAACTCACTAAGCTCTTCAAAACTTTGTGAGTGATAAAGGCATGTTGACTTTTGAAGTGTTGTATTTCCTTTTTTAAAGGCACTGGTCATTCCTCTAACYCTAATTCCTTCAAAAGTTGTATAAACTAAAAGAAAACAAGCAAGAATGACAAGCAGGGATGCAGCAGAAGATGATAATTGTATTATCAGAAAAAAAGTATAAATCCAGTTCCAAGCGGCATTTCTCAATTCACAACTGYCAATTGTTTAAATTCCCTAGAGAAAACAGGCTTTTTTAGGAGCAAAACTTCCACATCAGTTGTTGGATTTGTTCGTTTGTTTGTTTGTTTTTTAAGATTGACCTAAAACAGAAAAAGTTTAAGATGGATGCAGTGACATGCACCTRTAGTATCAGCTCTCRGGAAGCTGAGGCAGGGGGATCATTCAGCCCAAGAATTCAAGACCAGACTGAGTAACATAATCAGACCCCATCTGGAAACAATAAACAAATAATAAAATAAAGAAAAGCTTATTTCACTTGATTTTATCTGCATATTTCCTCAAATTGGATCTTGTGTCCATGCAGGGATGGACAGAGACCACATCTTTTACTTCTCTTTGCTGAGCCTATCCAAAGTAGGCAAAGAGGTTGCCACCGAACAAAACCACACTCAAAGTGACATCATTGTCAACACTACAGCTACCACTTAMAGAATGTCAACAACCACACTTTATACCCTTGTGTTCTGGTAATTATGTGAGGTATCAAAACAGGTGCTCTTTCCCTAGCRTCCACTGGCTCAGCTTCCACTTGGTGTAGTGATACATGTGAACCAAAAGCTCCTAGACAAGATTGGAGGCACTTCCTGTTGGTCACACTTCCTCCATGGGAAGCCTACTAGAACACAACAGCCCCACTCATAGTCCACATCCACTGGTGGCCAAGGGCCAGGGAACCATGTGCATGACACCAGGARGGTAAACCACAGCGCTTTGGCCACAGAGACCACAGACACCAATTGGAGAAGGTTGCAGACAGACTCTTGTCAGAGATTTTCCTGTACATATTGCCTTGCYAGGAAACCAACATCCTCAATTGTTCTTTGTGGGATTTCTCACCATTTTGAGGAATTTGTGTTCATTCTCTGGATGAGCACATGGGTTCCTGTTTCAGAATTTACAAACACACACACCAATTAAGAATCAGGCATAAAGGCTACCACATCTAAATAGATGCTGAACCTGGGAATTCCAAAGCATATTTTAGCAATGGGATTAGGATTCAGGTAGATGGAACACACATGGAATAAAAGGAACACACATGTTCTGAGCCAGTGCACCACCATGGATGTGGATAGCACAGGGTGTGTACATATCTTTCATGATTTTCCTACATATGACCTCGCTTAAAATCCCTTCTGACCCGCATTGGTGTGACATTTGGTACTTTAAAGGCTGCCCTACTTTCCTTTCCCATTGAAAGGCGATATATTTAGGAACAGATATGACATGTATTCGCCGAACACCCTGCAGTGTGGCGGCTGAACGCATGTGCACGGTAATCTGGACACACATTCACAGGTAAGGCAGAGAGGAAGCCAGTTTGAATGAAATCTTTCATTGCTCTCTCACAGACAAGCAGATGTTTGCATGCTGAATCCAGCGGCTATTCTGAGCAAACCTGGTTTTACAAAAGCAGTCTCTTTTGTGGGGCAATGCGGGACTGTGCGTGCGCTCCCACTAGGAGGAAAATGCCATTTCCTCTCCGCATGCTTTTAGCACTGCAGGTACTAATTTGTACAGGAGGTAGCCTTAGCCTCGCTGTCCCCAGAGGAACTTGAGACCCTGAAAATGTACTTGCAACATTCACACTGCAGCCACCACCAAGCACCGATCGCCCCCGTGGACAAGTACACACCACCCTCCCGGGCACACAGGAAAGAACACACACAATAAGAGGCCAGGCCCAGCCACTCCTTCCAAGCACAGACTTGGTCCTCCTTCCGCAGCCAGTCCTGACAATGACAAGCACCTCTCAGAGATCCTCGCCCTGCTCTYGGTCTCCACTAACAACGCAGCGAAGACCCTGGGGGAGGGGGTTCTCACCCTACTCCGGGTTTAAAGCCCGGTGGCACCAGACAAAAGAGGCAGGTGCCAGCAGCCCAGGGGCCGCCCTCACACAAGGCCCCCAGCCGGGGCCAGGCTGGCGAGGGTAGGGCAGTCGCCTTTCGAGGAACCGCGGGCGGGGAGGCTGCCGCCAAACTGGGCGCCCGCCCTGCCCTCGGCGCCCTGCAGCTGCGGGAAGAGTGAGCAGTGCGGGGCCTGGGAGCAACCCTCCCCGYCGCTCGTTTCCCCAGCAAAAGCAAACCACGCACCGGTCCGAGGAGAGTCGCCGRGGATCTTTGTGGCCGCGCTTGGGGCTGCCTCCTGGAGCTGTCCTTGCCCGGCTGGGTGCGGCTGGGGCTGCGGGGCTGTGGGGCTGGGGGCGGCGTCGGTGCCGGGCTGGGCGGCAGCAGCTGCGGGAGCACGGGCGTCTCGGCTGCGGCCACTAGTGCAGGGATGTGCCTTGGCCGGTCCTCATTGAAATGCGGCGCTTCGCACAGCCTCACTCCAGCCTCTCTTCCGAGGAGGGCGGCGGCGGCAGGCGCGCTCCCTTTTCTTGTGTCTCACTCGCTCWCACGCCCTCCCTACTCCCTCCTTCTCCTCCTCCGCGCGCGCCCCGTCTCCCCCGCCCTTCTTGGCAGGGCGCACCCACCACGGCTGCGCCCCGGGTCCTCCCACTCTGCGAGCCCTGCATCCGACGCAGCGACCTCAGTATCTGACTTAACTGAACCCCAAGCCTCCCCAGAAGTGGGTGTCTGGAGAAGGGCTTGCAGATCGGCTGGCAGCCTCGGGGACAGAAGAGAATGTGGACAGGGATGGGTCTGAGCCAAAAGGTGTGCGGGGCAGAGCGGTGAGGTGGCCCAGAAGTGAGGTCCTCTTTCTCATAGAAGGCATGAGAACAGTTCTCCGCGCTGCACGTCCACACCCACACCCTTCGTTGTGACCTTATCGTTTGACACTTCCCAGGGTTATGAAAGCAGAGGGGATCGCCTCTCATTTCTTCTTGCCCAGGAAGCATCCACATAACGCTTCTCCCAATCCACATAACGCTTCTCCCAATCCACATAACGCTTCTCCCAATTCGGGATCCTTCCAAGCTATACCCTCTTGTATTACCCCTGTGCCCCCAATTGAAAGGGCCAGATCTGTGCATGGATCCCACCCGTCATCTCCACTTGACCTCAAGATGTGAGTCACCCTTAAAATAGTGACCTTTCTACTTAGAGCCAAATATTTTCACGAAAAAGTCTTTGATAACTTAAGGGCTAGGTTTCACTTGCTACTGGGTGTTTCATGGCTGCCAAAAAACTGGCGGTCAGGGTGGAAAGCCCCATGAGCTCACACAAGCCTCTCCTCCCAGGGTGGAATGTTCTTGGAGCCTAGGCTGTTCACAGCCCCATCTTGTCTTGGCACAAAAGTCCARATGAGATTGGGTCCCAGATTTCTGAGAAACTTTAATCTGGCTCACTGTGCAACTTGAAATTTGGTCAATTAATCTGACCTTCAATTCTGTCACTTGGGACGTGTTTATCCCAAATACACATACATATACAAAAACATATGTATTTTTCTGTCTTCCTTAGCCTGCACTTTTCAATGGAAAAAGTCCAAATTTTATTTTTCTCTTGCCCATGGAGCCCAGTTATGTATTTGACTACTTATTATTAATAAGAACTAGTCGGCTCTCCTCTTTCTTGGCCGGAGGCTCGGATCCGACCCACTGCAGGGGCATGATGGTGGTGGGTACCGGCACCTCGCTGGCTCTGTCCTCTCTCCTGTCCCTGCTGCTCTTCGCAGGGATGCAGATGTACAGCCGCCAGCTGGCCTCCACCGAGTGGCTCACCATCCAGGGGGGCCTGCTGGGCTCCGGCCTTTTCGTCTTCTCTCTCACAGCCTTCAATAATCTGGAGAATCTGGTCTTTGGCAAAGGATTCCAAGCAAAGATCTTCCCTGAGATCCTCCTCTGCCTCCTTTTGGCTCTCTTTGCATCTGGCCTCATCCACCGAGTCTGTGTCACCACCTGCTTCATCTTCTCCATGGTTGGTCTGTACTACATCAACAAGATCTCCTCTACTCTGTACCAGGCCACAGCTCCAGTCCTCACACCAGCCAAAGTCACCGGCAAGGGCAAGAAGAGAAACTAACCACAAATGTCTAATAAAGTTGATTCTTTGTAAAAAAATAAATAAATAAAAAAAATAATAAGAACTAATCCAAAATACATTCAAAATATTATGCAAATACTAAATAATTATCATTTATTATAAAATGCAACTCAAATGAGATGCATGTTACATATTCAACAATGACGCAACATTTATTGTTGAACTATTTAATAACCCAAGGATGAGAGTACAATGAACTCACCAAATTAACTAAATGCAAAATACTGAGTCTGTTCCTTCAAATTCTGATGCAAAACAAAGGCTCAGGGGTAAGTTTAGAGAAAGGCTGAAGCAAAGAATATCTTCTTAGAAGAGAAAACAGAGCTTCTTGTTATCTTGCCAGTGACAAATGCCAAATAATTTCTGCCAAAATGATAAACCTTTTAATTCCTATGGATTTTCTATCAGGGTCATATCTTAAGCACTTTATGTAACTTAACCATAATCTTGCTTCTATCCTAGCTGTTCTTCCTGGAAGATGCAGATGTATTCAAAGAAACATTTTAGTGTTATTCTCTTAGCATTGTGCTCCCAATAGTTGGGCATCATTGACTCTCTCAAGAAACCAGAGGGCAAGTGATGATTTAGTACATGGGGACTCCAAATAGTACCCACTGGCCACTACTATAGAGCAGTATCATGTGGTCCGAGATAGCAGGTTGGTACTAAATGRTACCCAGTAACCTGACAGAAGCAATGTTGTTCACAAAAATTCCTGTTAATTCCTGGGTAATTAAGCTTTTGGCAAATCTAACTCATAGTCCATAACTCTTAACTGAAATGAAATCCAATGAGGAAATTCCTAATTCAAGTAATTTTCCAACACTAATGTTACTTCCTTTATATCATGAAGGTACTAATCAAAGAAGTGACTGGAATTAATATACCTTTTCCTCATGAAAGTGTGACGTTAATGGAGCTTCCATTCCTGCTTCCAAAAGTTAATACCTCAGCTGTGTGTCTCAGTAGCTATTCCAAGAAGCCATAGCTCTGTGTCCTATATTATGACAATAGCTTGGCCACAACTCTGTCCAGGGCTCCTATTAATTAAGTGCTTGTGTTTTGCCTGCTGGGATCTTTTATACATTTTTAAACTTCATTATCATGAGAACTGTGCAAGGCAGGTATTATCCTCATCTTATGAATGAAGGAATTTAGGTATGGAGAGGTTATATCATTTGCCCATAGCCATGCAGTTAATAAATGTTTACCTAACTCCAATTTTTAAAAATACTTGTTTTAAAATTCTAGCTATTTTCCAGTTGTCATGACCATATGTTTTAAAGTAATACAAAATTCTAGTGAAGTATAACCTCTAGGGGAAAATGCACTTTTAATCAATGAGTTTATTATTTCCTAATAGAGAGTGAACAACTCTCTTCTAGGTGCACAGTTTCCTTTAGTGATGGGTAYCATCAATGTGTCTACTTTTTAAAAAATATTTTTTAGTTGTTGATAGACCTTTATTTTTATTTATCTATATGTTGCCCTGAGAATTGAACCCAGTACCTCACACATGTCAGGCAAGTGCACTACCACTGAGCCCCAGTCCCAGCCCCAACTTTGTCTACTTTGGATTAGCCTTTTTATAAGGACATTTGCACTTTAACTTCTGACATAAAGTTGATGAACAACCATGTCTATATGTACTTCCTTTCTTGAAAGTAAGTTTTTAGTGTAAACCAGAGAGAAGAAAGAAAATTTAAAAAAAAAAATTCAATTAATCATACATCACCTTTCAGGAACCTTTGATTGGTTTCTTCATAAAAAATAATATGCTCAATCATGTGAATTCACATAAAACTCCAAAATAAKGGATATCATCAGGAAGAGATGCACTTCCTGATTTTATCTTTTACTCCCTTTCTAAAAGGGAGAATTCACTCCTGGCCCATTTACAATCTTTCCTTGGTGGTAAAAGACATGCAGTGATTCTGGGGTAGAATATTGTGCATGCTTGTTGACTGTCATGATTATGAACAACAGCTTTGTAGAATATGATCATTGTTATAATTCTCCTTTGTATTTCTTCCAAAATAGTGTAAGATCTTTATGCATTTCCCCCTAATGACTAGATTATTTGTACCTTCCACTAGAATCACAGAAACTCAATGATGAGGGGCCTTAGCAGCAGACTATCCAAGTTTTACTCAGTGCGTGAACTTACTCTACAAACTGTTATGGGGAGCTGCTTCAGAAGTCCGAATTCAAATCAAAGAAAGCTTTATTTACCTGGCCAGGGACTGTCACCCACCAGTAGAGACTAAAGCTCTGTGGGAGAACAGCAACCTCCTGGCCTGTGTCTTGGGAATTTAAGGACRAAAACCACAGCTCAGGGGCTTTTCTCAGCATCATGCAAGCAAGCAAGTTAAAAAAAAAAGCAGTTAGCTTAACTCATCTCAGGTCCAAACACTTGTTAGACAACCGTATCCTGAGTTTCAGCTGAGCAGGGGTATAATCTATTTCAAAGTTATGTAGATCCATAAATATACTCAAACCCAGATGTAGCTCACTATGACCACCACCATATCCTGAGTTGGGTACATTCTGTGGGATACAAAGTACAGAAAAACAATTTTTATAAGAAGATAGCTTTCATTTCTATTTCTCAGAAATGGGTCATGCAACAGTTTTTTTAATAGAAGGCAGCAAAATGGAGTCTTCGACCTATGACAGTTCTTGCTTTATAATTATCTTATCTCACTTATCAAAATCTTATATCTATAATCTATATATTTTTTACTAATCTGTAACCTATAACTTATACTTTTACTGATCTTATTGATTAGTTTACACCACAACACAACTAGTATTCTTTCCACCTCCACTCTGTTGTTTCTACCCTGGCATTTGTGGCAAAAGTGAAGAGAAATAGGATTTGCCTCTAAGAGTTAGGATAGACCAGGAGATTCTTGATGAAGTAGATGAGATCTTTAAAAATAATTGATTTAACTAGTCATTTATCTCTGGCTTGGCTCTCCAAACATGTTGTGGTCTAAACCAAACATATAAGAGTTTAAATCTGCACAAAGGAAAAAAGGCCTCTACCACCCTCAAATGTCCTCTATGAAAWGACAGAGAGCTTCACAAAGCTTGTTTCTCCCTTTCCCGTCTAAGTGTAATTAATTTTAGTAAAGTGGAATTCTACATAGCCCACTCTCCTGATAGACAGCTCCTG